TTTGGGGGGGGGTGTCTGTATTGGTCAGTTGGCATTCAGAACTGGAATTTGTTATCGTACCTGAACTAATTGGTGGCAGCCAAAACATTAGCGTTTTGTCTCTCTCTCTGTTCTTACCTCAGGTGAGCATGCTCAGTAAGGGTTTCGGTGATGTTGGCGATCCAAAAGGAACCACTGGAGGCTCCACGACTGGTTCTCAATTTCTGGAGCAGTTTAAGACGGCCCAGGCTTTGGCCCATCTAGTGGCTCAGCACTCACAAAGTGGCACACCCAATGCTGGTGCTTCTACCTGGGATACCAGCCCCACTACACTGGGGCAATATGGTAAGGGTACTGATGTGGTTTGAATAACTTCGATGATTGTTCAGACCTCGGTGTAGTCTTATTTTTTCTCTTTGTCTGCAGATATGAAACCTCAAACGGAGCCTGTGCACAGTCCCTTCACCAAACGGCAGCCCTACCAGCCCACCTCCACTTCTTCCTCAATGGATGCCTTCTTGCAGGACAAAGCTACACCTGCTTCTACCACCTCAGCCCTGCCCCCTCAGTCCACTCCATCATCATCATCATCATCACTGCCCCAGGCCATCACCACCCCTGTCCCCAAACCCTCAGGACCCACCCCAGGTCAGCAGAACTCTTCCAGCCCAGCCGACCCTCAGGCATCCAGCCCACTCCCCCTGCAGCAGCACAAACTAAAACAGCAGAAGAAGAGGGCTTCCATCACAACCAAGGTCATGATTCTCCAAGTTTGTTGTGGTCTATGTTGCTATTTTGGGGAATAATGGATTGATCAACTTTGCCTTATAGAGCTGATCATCTATTTAATCAAATGTTGTGGTGATTTGCAGATTCCAGCCCTAGCAGTGGAAATGCCAGGCTCTGCGGATATATCTGGGCTCAACCTGCAGTTTGGAGCATTACAGTTTGGCTCTGAACCGGTGCTTTCAGAGTACGATGCCTCGGCAGCTGTTGCCACGACGACACCAGGCAACCAAGGCCAGAACAGCCTTTACACAAGTGCTAGCAAGTAGGTATCTCATGTCTGTGTAAGACTGTCAGACTAAAGCTTTTCATAGTTTCAAGCACAGTAACTAGGTTGTACGATTTTGGGAATATTTTTTTTTCTTTTAAAAGCACCATGTTTGCTGTTCTCTTTCTGTTATTTGGCCAAAATTTTTGTGACTATCAATGTAATAAAAATAATAGTAATAAAATATTAATAAGTCAAAAAGGCATACATTATTAAACTGTTACTATTGTAATATTTCACTAAAAGTTTAAATACTTTTAAATACTACTGTGTTTCTTCATTTTTAAAATGTTAAACCATCATGCTTTTTTTTTTTTTTTTTTTTTTTTTTTTTTTTTTTTTTTTTTTTTTAAAACACAGTGATCAAAATTAGAGAACAGCAGCCACTGTAGCACAAAAGAAGATTACAACTAACATTTTGGAGGGTTGCAGCTGTCAGAAATTAGTAGGAAGTGTAGAGGCCCTTGCTTT